GATAAAACCTAAACGATACCCATCCCTAGATACCAGCAGGCTTTAGGCTGTCGTGGTCGTTACGTTGACAATTAAAAACCTTTAAATGCTTCACAGCTCTCTTACATTAGCATCAGAGAGCTGTGACAAGACTCCACACTGCCGCTAAGACTATTACCGTAACTGCCGTCGCCCATAATGTGATTGCATAACAGGTGGAAGTAAGGCCAAACACTTCTAACAGCCTTCAAGTCTTTGAATTAGCAAACCGAGACGATCAGGAACTAAAATAAACCTGCGTGACGCGTGGGAAGGATGCAACACTTCAGGTCTTTATAAGATTGAAAATCTCTGTTTCAAGAGTGACCTATTAAATAAAATGAAAGTTGAGCAGATAAAGAAGACAGAAAGCTGAGGGGTTTAAATAAAGCTTAACGCTGACCCTGAAGGCTTCGTACACTCACCTCTGAAGCCTCGTCTCAGACTGGAGCTTCTATGTTCGCGCCACTCTCCGCCTCATCTCTCAAAATAAACTCATTCCTGTCGTCTGGCTCATCTGAAACACAGGGAGAGGTCGGCTCAGTGCACGAAACTGTAATTGACTTTGTGTAATGAGCAGAGGACAGCATTTGGTGCATGCACGTTTGTTTTTTCATCTTGTAAAAATGATTCAGGACCTCGAAAATGCAAAGTACAAGAAAAGTACGAGGGAGCACGTCCAGCAGAGCCACACAGACGCTACAGCCCCCCCCACATCAGCCGTCCAAACCAAACATTTGTTGCATTTTTCCACCTCCCTCCGAGTAAATGACGTCGTCTTTGATCGGGTTTGGGAAAGCGTTTCAAAGCCAGCTACAGTTTACCCGTCTGTTTATTTTTAAACCTTTGAATCCTCGCTCGCTTCCTTTTTTCAGCCATCATCTCCAAATTCGTCCAGGGGGCCGGGATCCAAAGGAGAAGAAAGAGCGCACCACGTGTCTCTCCAGGCAATGTGACTGCCTTGCGTGTATGTAACACAACACGCCTAAACGCATGCAGTAATGCAGTCTGAGAGGGCTTTCGAGCAGTGCTAACTCTGCTAAGCCTCGCAGCATACGTGCAGCATACGTACAGCATGTGTGCGGTTACAGTAAAAACAAAGCTGCCAAGTGTCACCTCAGGATTAAGCGATCTGCAGCATTAAGAGTTTATCTGCTCCTGCTTGGGTGCACCTTGACTGCCAGGTGAGATTAAGACGTGTTAAAGTTAAAGAGCGCGTTTAATGCAGGGACAAAGGAATTCCAGGAAACATCAACATTTTAAATAGAAAGAAAAAATGAAAAAAGCCACTTGAGGAAATGATTCTCTTCTTCTGCAGCTGTTTAGGACGAGTGTGAAAAGTAGCAGCAGAAAGCAGAGTGGAAACTTGGCTGTGGAGACGAGCAGGCCCGGTAATGAACTCGAGGCGCGAGTCTGACACGATCACAGTATTAACTAAACATTTGCTTCATTTCACAAGAGTTATAAGGAGAAGATGTTGAATATAAGCATGACATATAATCTGAGTTACTGAAGCAGCTTTTCTCCAGGAATACATCTCCGGATATATCATGAGATGCTTTATTTATCCCACAGTTGGGAAAATTGCTGCCATTATTCTTACGAACCCTGGAAAAAGTCACGCTGGGAGCGTTTGTGGAGTATATGGTCAAACGCTTCCCTCGTCTTCAGTAATCTGACCAATGATAGCCTCCCGACTTCTGTTGTTCAAGAGCAGAAGGAGCTAAAAAGCAGAGTTAGCCTGATTCAGATGCTTTCTACATGAATGCAGAGCAACTCAACTATTCTCTTTCAGGAGTAAAAGACTAAGGAAGCAGCTGTCGGGAATCAACATAAAGCTGGTTGTCAAACTTGTCACAACGACGGCTTTCTTCTAAACGCTGCCACCGATGCTTTTCTTGCAAAGTTTATTCAGGGGAGAGCAGAGCTGTGGGTATGAAAGGCTCAAAGGCGTGCCAACACTCAAACTAAGGCACACGTTTGCCTTCTGCTGCGCCGAGCCGGAGCATTGTGCGACTGTTTTCGGAGAACAACGAGACAAGTCTTCCTTTTTAGCCGCGAACCGCTGCACCCAGTCGTGAACTCTCCCTCCCTCTTCCCCTTCAGTCCTCTGTTCGCGTTAAAAGGCTTCCTGCAGGCCATCTGCTCGAGGGCAAAGGGAGCATTGCCACCCCGTGACCTGGCATTCTTCTCGGCCCGGCCCTGGGCGACTCCTACGTAAGCTCCGTGTTTAGTCTGGCACCGTGTGTGTCTTGGGTCTGCGATTCAGGATAACGGTGAGGAATGAGCCACGCCTCGTTTTGGTGTAAACACAGCAGGTATTTGAATTGTTGAGGATGTAACTGCCTTTTTATTTTCACCAAGACCACCGTGCATTTGTAGCAGAGAAGCTCCAACCTCTAAACTCAAACCCACACATGCAGAGTCTGGACTTTCCTAACCTGGCCCTTCGTGTCCTTGAATCTAAACTATAGAAACAGCAGGAAAAACTCCGGACACAGCAGTGACACACTCCCTGAGGCCCCGCGGTAACGTCACGCTGCTGCTAGGGCAGCTTTAAACCTGCTGAAAATCCAAAAGAATATATCACAGTGACAAAATAACCTCAAATATAATAAAAGATACCAACAAGGTTTCATTCTTTTTGAATTACTGTGCACCAGGAGCCATGAGGTCATTTGTTATTGGTTGTGAGTGTTAACACAATCGCACCGCTTTCCTCCTGTCAAATCACAGCCCGCGGGACTCGTCTCTTATCACTTTCCTCTGGCGCTGCGACAGCTCGGCTCTTAAAGCAACAGCGCGCGTAAAGCTTCTCTCTCAGACTCACAAATTAAAGTCAAAGTCATGCAAAACACCGTCGTTTCTTTCCAGGCAAAGAAAAACAACAACAGGAAGTGAAGAAGAAGAGAAAACAGGGCGGTTGAAGCCAAAGACGACGCCGTCTCCTGCTGAGTTTTTGTCATACGAACCAGATTTAAAGTATCCCGCGGTTGTTTGCTCACGAGCAGAAATGTCCATCTATGAATCACTCGCTGAAAGCCCGTAATACTGCGCTGGATCCAGCCAAAGCCACCAAACATCCATCAAAGTGCTTGTTAAGTGTCTTTCTGACTTTTTCATTATACATTTAGAAGCTCTGAGCCTGGCTGCCCACCAAAAATGTCACGGCGGCCTTCTGAAAGATTTAAACGCGTATGCCACCGCCACTCCAGACTAATGCCAAGAAAATGAAAATGTTTCCAAACACTTTTTGTACAATCGTGCAAACATCTAGAAACTTCACACAAAGTTTAGACAAAGTAACAAGTCTGTCAAACAAAGTTCTCGTGAGCCGGACGGACGTGACAGAAGCGATAAAGTCTCAGACTGAGAAAGACGACCTCGTTGTGTCTTCATGTACAAAGCAAGTACATGGAGTTAGGCCGGATACAAGAGATGCAAAGTGAAGCTAGCAGATCCAGGTGGGAACTAAACAGCATTCACACACAGTGTAAACCACACCTGTGCATCTGATAATGGGCAGCACAATGCAGCCGCTCCACTCCAGGCTCTTCTTAATCCATAAACAGGAGAAACAAAGGCAGACAAAGATAAAACTCCAGTCCAGAGCAGACCTTACCTCCGTGGCCCGGGCTTTAATCTAAAAGCTCTTTGAAGAGCTCGCAAAGGAGAAATCTAGCTGCTGTTCTCTGATCTGGAGTCACTCTGGGGAGGCTCGCTGAGTCTTAAAGCAACACTCACACACACCCAGGCACACTGGAGGACACGTGGAAACTCCCTCCCGGCTTTGGAGGAGCAGCGAATCACAATCCTCCGAGGGTAACCCTGGGTAACGGAGCGCCGAGAGGAAAAACCAGAGAGGAAAAAGTGAAAGGTCCTCGACAGAAGAGCTCTCTCAGCAAGAGAGGCGAGGATGTTTTATAACGCTCATGCAGCGCAGAAAGGCTCCACTACTCCAACGTGTTGTTTTTCCTACATCCAGCTTTTCCGTTGGCAAGGAGCAGGATGCAGGGTCCGCTGCAGCCCGGGCGGTTTTCCATAGCGGTCTGAGGGGATTGGCTGAGACAAGCTGGCGTGTAATGGCTGCAGCACTGCAACTGCTGAGGGCGCAATGACTGGAGCTCTTGTCTGACCCTAAATACCACAATGACCCCAAGAGGAGGCCAAGGAGGCAGCCAGCCACCACCGAGAGAGAGATGTGTGCGTGTTTAGTGCAGAAGAAGATAAAACGAGCGGGACGGCGACGTGCCTGAGCCGTTTGAACGTTTCTGTTGGCCGGGGAGGAAGTCCTAATTTGAAGGGAGTTGATTTAAAATGCAACAAAAAAGCAAAACTTCCCGGGAATTCGACTTTCTCAAAGTGTTGTGACTAAGCCGTCTCCCAGCGGAGACGAATTTGAGACCGCCGTCGGGCTAAAAACACACACATGCCTCCATTTCTCTATGGTTCGCATAACTGTGGTCACAAACTGGACCCATTAACAAAGCCACACCAGAACACAGCACGCCATCAGAACTGGACCCTGTGTGCCAGACGGCTCTCGCTTTATTTCAGAGTAACCGAGCGGAGATTAGTGGATGGTTGGAGCTGTATCGGCGCTTATAGCACATATAACGAGAACGTTCAGATGGATTCTCCTCCAGAGAATCATTGTGGCGATTCAAAGTCACGTCCGTGCACGCTGCACGAGCAGCTGTGGAGAGGCGTCCATCAGCCGGCCGCACGCAGACATCAGCAGCGTTCAGCAGAGCTAAACAACATTGTTAACAGCACAATGGTGCTCGTGGCCCCGTCTGAGCTGCTCTCAAAGGCCTTTGTCCGGCTATAGATGGAGGCAGCTAAAAGGTTGGTCAACAACACACTTGAGTGACTGGGAGACGTGAAAAGAGCGAGACAGCGAGAAAGAGAGGAGGCGGGCAGGGCCGCCGTGATGCATATTCACACAGAGCAGGTGCTCGGTCTAATTCCTCCCGGCCAAATGCTGCGACCCCCAATTACGATGAATTAAGCGCCGATCAACACAGCCAGATTAAATCCCCACACGTGCTCAAATCTCTGCACGATTTCCATTCACATCTCCAAGAGCTGAACCGAAACCCAACTAGGTAGTTCATGGGGACTGTAGGTCATGTGTGCAGCAGCGCAGCTGTCGTGAAACACAAGGGAATGACGTAACTGACAGGAATACAAGTCAGCAGAAGTTTGAGAACGAGCTCCGGAGGACCCCCGATGGCCTTTCAGGCACAATAATAAGAGTGTGAGAGAATCTGCACCCCCTCACCCCGGATTTAAAATCAAAGTTTAAACAATTAACCCCCCCCCTGGACAAAAAAATATCATATGATGCACTTAAAAGCCCGTCTATAATATCACATTTGGTCACAAATTATTAAAAAGAGCAGAATTTGCAGCAGAAATTAACGACTTAATGGATGAATTGAGCCTTATATAAAAAAAACTGACTTTAAATACCTTTAAAATCTATTTTTAAAATACAGATTTGTTGATTTGCTA